GAGAGAGAGAGAGAGAGAGAGAGAGAGAGAGAGAGAGAGAGAGAAAGCACAGAAATAGGGGTTATTTTCATCTAAGGCAGTGAATTCATTACCTTTGTTTCAGGCGTGAGATTCAAGGTTTTGGGGTGAAAGTCAGCATTATTGAACCTGGGAACTTTAAAACCAGGATGACAGACATAGAGCTAAACATTGAAAGAATCAAGAAAAACTGGGAAGCAGCACCTGAGCACGTCAAGGAATCCTACGGACAGCAGTTCTTCGACCATTGTAAGTTAGTGTGTGTGTGTGTGTGTGTGTGTGTGTGTGTGTGTGTGTGTGTATGTGTGTATGTGTGTGTCGTCATGTGGTGATCAATTCCAGGGCCATGTGTGTTCTAGGCAAGAACTCCACCACTGAACCACATGCCCATCCTACAAAGTTTATTTTAAAAATGCAGAAAATGGTATAGAGTTCAAATGTGGTGATGATCACACAACACTGAACACACTAAAAACCCATGGTTTGTACACTTTAAACTGGCTAGATTTTATGATATATAAGTTATAACTCAACTAAAACACAAATTTACAGTTGAAGGCCAGCAATATAGCTTAGCTGCTAATGGTGTTTGCTACATAAGCCTGAAGACCTGAGTTCAATCATCACAACCATTATAAAGGTGTAGGATAGAACAAACCCCACAAGGCTGTCCTCCGACCCCCACACATGCTATGTGTCAAGGGCAGACATATAAATATACACACAATGAATAATAAAATTTACAATTGAGAAGAAAACTCATGTACTTATGTTGAACCAGTCATGGAGTTGAGTTTTGAAACTAAAATTTACTGCTGGGTGGTGGTGGCACACACCTTTAATCCCAGCACTTGAGAGGCAGAGGCAGGTGGATCTCTGTGAGGCCAGCCTGCTCTACAGAGGGAGTTCCAAGACAGCCCAGCTACACAGAGAAACCCTGTCTCGAAAATAAATAAAATTAATTAAAACAAAATTTACTAAGGTTGGGTGTGTTGGTACACACCTTGAATCCCAGCATTTGGGAGTCAGAGGCAGGCAGATTATCTGTGAGTTTGAGGTCAACTTGTTCTACAGTGATAGTTACAGGACATCCAGGGCTACACAGAGAGACCCTGACTCCACACAAACAAACAAACAAACAAACTCTAAAATGAAATTTTCCAGAATTACATAAAAGCAAAGGCTTGGTCTTTATTTATGTGGCTAATGATTAGAGTATCAGGAAGCACAGGTCTGCTCGGGAATCCTGGTCCCCACAGAAATTAACTGTCACTAGACTTCTGTGAGCACACACAACGAAACCTCCAAACCACCCAGAGGAGAGACTGCTGACCTCCTTCCTCTGCTTCTGCAGTTTGCAGAGTCACCAAAGAAAACTTGATGAAGCGCTCTACCGACCTGAGCCTCGTCACCAACTGCATGGAGCACGCGCTGACCTCTGCATATCCACGCACCCGATACCCTGCTGGCTGGGATGCCTGGCTTCTCATTATCCCTCTATCTTATTTGCCTACGTCACTGGTGGACTACATACTGACCAGATCTCGGCCCAAGCCAGCTCAGGCAGTCTGAAGACTCTTGGGATGAAGGGATCATTTGTGTCTCGGTGATTGTTCCTTTGAACCCAAGCTATCTGCGCCGATAAGCTTTCTTGCATCAACCATCTATCTGGTCTCTCTTTTCCTTTCCTCTCCACCCCCACAGACACTGGGTCTCACTCTTTAACCCTGGCTGGCCTCGAACTCAGAGATCTGCCTGCCTCACTCTTAGCCAAGATGTTCACACTATAGGTATATCAAATTTACTACTATTTTAATCATTTTCACCCCGAGAATATTAACATATGTGTCGTTCTTTCTCATCCTATTAAACAGCCGTATAAGAACAATTTAATCTGTTTTTTTCTTATGTACTTGTTTATGTCTGCGTTTGGGTATGTGCATGGGTGTAGCGGCATCTTGCCTGTGAACCTGTAACCGTGGCCATACCCTTTGGACGTCGTTTCAGGTGCAGAATGAGCCGTTTAAGGGAGAGGAGTTGGGGACAGAACCCCGCTTGGGACACGGAGAGCATCGAAGAGGCGGGGTCTGCATTCTTCAAGCAGGGACACCGCGACAGTTACTTACTGTTACCTGCGTAAAAAACCTATTTATCATTTATCTTGAGTCTGGTGAACTCATTTAAACCTTGCCTTCACATGGAAGTGCATGCGTCCTAAGACGTCAAAGGTGACAGAATACAGTTGTGAGCCTCCCTATGTGGGTGCTGGGAACTGAACCTGCAAGGGAGAGGAGCTGGGGGTGGAACCCCCCCCCCTTGGGACACAGAGAGCATCAGAGAGGCAGGGTCTGCATTCTTCAAGCAGGGATACCACGACAGCTTTTAACAACTGAGCCATCTCTCCAGCCCCCAGATGAGCCTCTTTTTTATTTGTTTGTGTGTTTCTGTTTTATCAAAACAGGTTTCTCTGTGTAGCCCTGGCTGTCCTGGAGCTTGCTAAATATAGACTAAGATGGTCCCAAACTCAGAGAGATTCAACTTCCTCTGCTTCTTGACTGCCAGGATTACAGGTGAATACCATCATGCTGATAGTAACATATTTAAACATTTCCTTGGATTTAATTGCTGCATTGCTCTAATATTTTTTTTTTGGGGGGGGACCGTGTTTCAAGACAGGGTTTCTCTGTGTGTAGCCCTGGCTGTCCTGGAACTCTGTTTGTAGACCAGGCTGGTCTAGAGCTCAGAGATCCACCTGCCTCTGCCTCTGCCTCTCCAGTGCTAGGATTAAAGGTATGTGTCACTATGCCTGTCAGTTTTAAGATGTAATTCATCATCCACATTATTATTCTTTGTTTAGGTGTGTACAAACATGTGTGCATTCGTGTGTGTGTGTGTGTGTGTGTGTGTGTGTGTGTGTGTGTGCGCGCGCGCGCGCGCGCATGTGTACCTGTACCATGGTGCTGGTGCCATCTTGTCGGTCTTATTGCACTAAACAAATCCTTTAATTTATTTTAGGCGTGTGTGAGTGTCTGCATGTATGTATGTGTGTGCGTCATGTTCATGACTGGTGCACTCAGAGGCTGAAAGAGGGCATAACATATATAATAACATATATAATTGCTAGAATTTCTGGATGATATTAGAGATAGAACCCAGGGCCCTGTTTATGTGAGGCAAGTGCTCTGCCATGGAGCCACATCCCCAGCCTGAAAAGGCATTGCTTTGTAACAAAGGTCTCAAGGTGTAGCCTGAGTTATACTCAAACTCTTGACCTTCCTGTCTCACCCCTCCAGAGAGCAATCATGGCCCTAACTAAAGCAGACGGTATAAGGGAGAAGAGTGATTTATCTACCTCTTTCATCTATAAGGATAGTAAAAGATCTCCCAGAAAATCCCATGAAGTTTTCCTTTTGCTGAGTAAACATAGAGAATAAATTATTACCTAAATTGAGACACTTTTGGAAAAGAAGCAAGCCGGTATGAAGGGCTTACGGAGGGATGCCAGCTACAGACTAGTATTGCCCTAGATAAGTTGGTCATTAAATTACATCATACAAACCATTTGTTTCCTTACGTGCTCCATATTAGAATTCCTGTAGAAATGCCATTATGAGACACAAACCTAGTCATTAACAGTTCCATATTTGTTTGATGTTCTGATATTAGACAAAACAGTCAAAATACTTCTTTTGAAGGTCAATTCCTTTTTCTTTTCCAATCACTGTGTTTTAAATTATTTGTTTTGAAACACACCTGCATTCATGTAGTTACTACTTCAGTGATTTGCTCCCCACACCACAGGCTGGTGATTTAACTTTTTTATTAAGCATCCCCAGGGCTCTGAAGTACAACCTAGATTATTCTGTAGTGAACCTTAGACCTCATCCATCCTACGGACTTTAGAACTTGAAGATGGAGTTTCTGTCCCACCTGGTCCTGTAGCACTTTAGTCCCAAATAAACACACAGACTCAACTATCAATGATAAAGTGGCCAGTGGCTCAGGCTTCTTATTGGATAGCTCTCTCTTAATTATTGACCCATATCTATCAAACCTTGTATTGCCACGAGGCTGTGGCTTACCCATAATGCTCTGTTACGTTACTCCTTTGGCAGCTACATGGCATCTCATTCTGGTGACTGCTCCTCTCCTTTCCTCTTCCCAGAATTCTCTTAGTCTGGTGGCCCCACCTATACTTCCTGCCTGGCTACCAGCCAATCAGCATTTATTCATCAACCAATAAGAGAAACATGTATTCATAGCATACAGAAGGACATCCCCCATCAAAAACTGACACAGGCTCACAGAAATAGAAAGTGCTTAGTAATGACTCTTGATAGATGAGCAAAATTTACCCTTAAAATATCATGAGTTTTTATTGAAAGAGTTTGAAGAAAGAATAAATCAATGTAAACATACACAATACTCACAAATAGTGGTCTCGGGGTCACAAAACAATGTATAGCATCAGTTTCTCCCCCAAATAATTTATAAATTCAATATGATTCCAGGCCAATCAAATGTCCAGCAGCATTTTATTTTCAAATTGAGAATTTGATTTTAAATTTTAATGCAAGAGCAAAAAGGCAAGAGGAGCCAAGATAATTTTGACGAATAAGTGGGAAAGAGACTCTCTTTCCCAAACATTGAGACCTAGCATACAGTTTGCTTGTGGTTATTGTGTGCAACTAAATCAGACATGGAAAGCAAGACTGGAGAAAATGTACAGAACCGAGGGAATGGCTCTAGATGGAAGCTTGATACCGAAGATGGTGGGGAAATAAATGGTGGTGGGGGGGCAAGTTCTTTCTTTCAGAGAATAACAACTTTAGATATTGGTCAACTGTCATGCATAGAAGCCAAGCCTAGTGGAGCAATTGTGAAAAGCAAAAATTTCAAACCTTCAGAGCAGTCCCTTGGGGATGGATAAGTGGTGTCACTAGAGATGGAAGGGAAGTGACATATTTCTTAAGCTATATGTTAAGTACATAAATGTGGGGGCTAACTAAGGGTTATAGAATATTTGTTGCAAAAAGTTTATTATTAGCAGTATTTTGGGTTTGTTTGTTTGTTTTTTCTGAAACAGGGTTTCTCTGTGTTACAGTCCTGGTACTCACTCTGTAGACCAGGCTGGCCTCAAACTCACAGAGATCCTCCTGCTTCTGCCTCCCGAGTGCTGGGATTAAAGATGCGCCACCAACGCCCAGTGATGTGTGTGTATACACTCATGTGTGTCTATACACATACTGCACACACATACTGCACACACATGGCATGCATGCATGCCATTGCACTTGTGTCCAGGTCAGAGGAGTTGGCTCTCTCCTTCCAGCATTCTTTCTGATGTTCAAACTCAAGTTGTCAGGCTTTCATGGCAAGTGCCTTTAGTTTCTGAACCATCTGGTCAACCCTCAGATAGTAATAGAATAAAACATATGGGTTATTCCTCTCTTGGAGTTCTTCCAAATCTTGGGAGTTATTTCTCACTTTCCTTGGCAACTCTTAATAAATTTATATATACATTGCTCAGCACACACGCACAGTGTACACAAGCATATACACACATACATACACTTTACTGAAAGTTAGTTGCTGTAATATCATACTACAAGAACTACCTTGTTGTGCTCCTAGTACTGTGTTTAGTGTACATAGCATTTGTTGAATATAATAAGCCACATACTATGTATGTTATAGTTATATAGTTATTTTGTATGTGTAGGTATATGTGTGTGCATGCATGCGCCATGGCTTGCATGTGCAGGACAACTTGCAGAAGCTGGCTTTCTCCTTCCACTATTCGGATGCCAAAGATCAAACTAAGATTATCAGACTTGGTAGCAAATGTCCTTACCTGCCAAGCCATTTCACTGGCACCATAGAATATATGAATTTATAAATACATCTATATGTCTATATATTTAAAATAGAGTATTTTTTGTTGTTTATTTTTTTGAGAGACAGGGTTTCTCTGTGTAACAGCGCTGGCTATTGTGGAAATCATCCTGTAGACCAGGCTGGCTTCAAACTCTCAGAGATGTACCTGCTTCTGCCTCCCCAGTGCAGGGATTAAAGGTGTGCGTCATCACTACCTGGCTAAAGTAGAGTATTTTTATTTATTCTTCCTTCCCAACTTCATGTCTTTTTTTCCTTTTTTCCACATAACCCCCTGAGTCTAATTAGTGCTGTCTGTTTGTGCCAGGGTGTGAAGCCATCCATTGGAGCATGAACAAACTACCAGGGGTCACATCCCTAAATAAAAATTACTTTTCCTCCTCTAACAGCAATCAGTTGGCCATAGCTCTCAGATAGGGATGGCCCCCTTTTCTATGTGTGCTGGAATTTTGCTGGGCTTGATCTTGTGCAAGGACCCACAGCCGCTGAGAGTTAATGTGTGCAGTGGCTGTGCCCTGTCCAGGAGATAGCATTTCACAGCGCTTATCCCCAGCTCTTACTTTATTTTATTTTGGGTTTTCGGAGACAGGGTTTCTCTGTGTAGCTTTGGAGCCTATCCTGGCACCTGCTCTGGAGACCAGGCTGGCCTCAAACTCACAGAAATCTGCCGGCCTCTTCCTCACAAGTGCTGGGATTAAAGGCGTGCACCACCAATGCCCGGCCCCAGCTTTTATTTTCTTTCTGCCTGCTCTTCTGCAGTGTCTCCTGAGCCATGGTGGCATCAAGTTATGGTAGGTAGCCAAGAAAAATGGCAATGGCCTGGGCTGTTTTGAGGGACTCTGGAGCCACCCTGATTAATAACTTGCAGGGAGGCATTCTATGGCACTAAGATTTTTTTTGGGGGGGGGGAGGGGGTGATACCAGGGTCTTACTATGTAGTAATGCATGTATGTTTGT